TGCCTATTCTCTATTAAAAAAAATGTTATAATATTCAATAGTACTTCATTAACACGTACGTATACAATGATTGAAAAAATAAATTATCTTTTAAGTGTATATATAGAATGTTGTTAAAAAAAGTATATAAAGATAGAACCTCATATATACAAAATGTCGTTTAAATAAAGTATCTCCACAATGGTTGTTCATGATTTTGCTTTTAGTTTCACTCGAAAGATCTCATACTAATAAAGATAATTTTGTTTGCGTCTTTGTTTGCACTCCTTATCGACCCAACAAAAAGTAAAGAGATATTTTAAACTTTCAATACATGATTAATAACCTTAAATAATACATTAAGTCAATGGAGCTATACTCAGTTTTAACTCTATAGAGTTGTGATATCTACGCCATAGAACAAATTAAACCCTCCACAAGATAAAAAACGTCATATTCCTAAACAATTTTAAAAGAGAGAAAAGGAAAGAAAAACGAAATTCACATTTTTGTTTACCCTCGTGGAAATTAAGGAGAGAATTGGATGGTATAGTCATAATATGAAACAGTAAACACACATGGTACATGTATTCTGATTTTATAACGTTTCTCCACAGTCGACGCCACATGTACGTACAGTGGAAAAAGGGTGGCGCCGCCACCACCAGCCGCACCTTTAAGACGATGGATGGATATGGGTGCTGCATGTTGCAACTGTATTTTCTTCGCCACGCATGCACCCAACCAAACTAAATATATAAATTAATAAAAAGGCGCACATGCTTCTTTATTTATTTTGCTAGCCATGCCATAAAAAATAATTCAACTTTAAACTTCACTTTCTTTCATTGAAAAAAAAAATTATGCATATAATTTTACTCTAAATTTTCAATTTTATTTTACTTTAAATTTGGATAAGTACTACAACTTTTACTTTAAATTTAAAAAAAATGTTGCAATGTCATTATGGGAGCAAAAACTTTCATTCAGGTCCGAGAGTAGACGGATGAGTGACTCCTTGAGGGGAGGCTCGGTGGTACTCTGTTCGAGAGGAGGATAATTGGGTTTGTGAGATGATTGCAAACAAAGTCCCACCTTGGCTAAGGAAGAGAATGATCATGGATATATAAGGGAGGACAATTATCTCCATTGATATGAGATTTTTTAGGTGGAATCAAAGCAAAGCTATGAGGGCTCTACATACGTTTCCTACCATTATTGGCTTAAGCCACTTTTGACTCACGGTAGAAGGGATAAGCCTGATTTTTTGGACGGACGTTTCCGTGCACGAACAAAACATTTACCTTTTCATATGTTTTTGTCTAAGAAATAACCATAAAATAAAATAAGCATTCGCATAAAACATATGACCCTAGTTTGTATTTTTGAAAAGGTGAAATTTGCCTAGTTTATTCCATGTCAATTTTGTACAAAATTAAATTTTCAATAAAATTAAAAAGCTCTTTGGAATGTCTATATTGATTTTTGATAAAATGAGATGAATAAGCATAAAGAATATAATTACAATATTTTTTCGAAGCTTTAAAGATTAAATTTGATTAAATTGAGAGTATTTAGTTGTAAAAGTGGATTTATTCATTTATTTATATTGGTTAGTTTGGGGCCTACGGCTGAGCGGTATTTCACTGTTGAAAATGAGTTGGCTCACTTCAGGCTCTGCAACGGTACAGTAGAGAATATTCATACACAAAACTTGGAATTACGTGTACGTGTCGGCACCCCATTGGACCTTAACCGTAGATCTTCGACCGCCAGACCCACCCCGTACTGGCTTCCCTTCCAGTTCCCGCGTACTTGCTTACTCTCAACCACGTTCTCAATTTCCACGTAACGCCTTCCTTTGCAAAAACAGTTTCCACTCAACGGATTTTCTCTTCCCCCGTTGCGCTTTCCACGTCGCACTCCTCCCTTTTCTTTCCCTTTTTCTATTTTTTTAATTCCCAATATTTTTTTCTTCTAATAATTTAATTATATATTTTTTCTTTTTTGAGACAGAATTATATATTCTTCATTAAATTATAAATTTTGTTTTATTTATTTAAATCATTGAAATTGTGAGAATCAAATCATCGACTTTTGAAATGTTAATAAATAAGATATTTATTGAGTTACGCTTGTAATGACTAAAAAATTTGTACTTAAACTTATGAAGTTACGATTCAAAAATTTCGAAATAAATGGTGTTAATGATAATGATTCAAAATAAGCATGGTTAAAAATTACACTTTTATATTATTTTTAAGAAAATATCATCTCATTGTTTTGGCTCTAAATTGGGTAAAAAAAGATTATTTATCTATATTTTAATTTTTAAATGATAAGTACACCTAATTTATATTTAGAAAAGTGTTGTCTTTAATAAATGAGTTGGCCACCATTAATTGGTTTAAATTCTCCCACTTGGAGGTACGTTTTTCTTAAGGGTGGGTAAAAGCTACATCTATGGTAATATTAAATTAATTAAATTGACTTCTTTTAGTATAAATTAAATTGACTTGCTAACAATTCCAATCTCCTGTTAAAACTAAATTAATTAAATTAACTTAAAAAAGAGAAGCTTGAAATTTTCTCTTGTATCCTAGTTTATAAAATACATCGTAAAACAATATGATTACCCTATATCGACCCAAAACTAGTTGAATTGATCAATACATATCAACCTAAAAGTTTACTTGGTCAAATACATTTTAATCTTCATGCTCAAATCCCTACATTTGTCTAAGTATATATATAAAAGAATGATTTGCCACAGCTGTCGATACTAAATTCTATTGAAGTATCGAAGATCAAAAGCTACAAAGGAGTGAGTTTTGCAAGGGAAGACCTGTAAAGAAGGAACAAACACTCTGAAGCTCAAGTCAATCCCAATCCGAACTGTATAGGTCAGCGTCAGACAAAATTATGTACTTGATATGAAGGAGTGAGCTCCTTTTTATAATAGGCGAATGGTGAGAAACAAGACCGTTATGGCGTTCTGACAGGTAGTTACAATTCTCGATCCATAGGTTAGCAAGRTCGTAGGTTGGAAGGGTGCCTTAGCCAAAATCCTTTATTCCTCTTGAGCGACATATAGATCAAACCATAAGTTAAGTCGGTATATATACCTTGTCTACATACTTTGGGGTAGATCTTTCGATTTATTATGAGGGGTCTACGTGGCACACCAGATTTTACCCTCCAACAATAGTAATATTTAGAAAAAAAAGATAATACACATTTTTTTAGTTTAGAAATACAAGTTGAACTAAAAAAATACGTGAGTGTGTATGTATGTACGTATGTATATATATATATATATATATAATACATGCATATGCATTTAAATCTATGCAGTATGATCCGTTTTTCTTATTTTATTTTTAGTTTAGCAATATGTGAGATGGAGTTTCGAACACCCTTTAATCGATAATATATGTCTTAACCAAATTGAGCTATGCAAAGATTGACTAGTGTCGTCATCGTTTCGTTTTGTCCATGCTATAAAACATATTTTAAAACTTTTTAAACGTGCTCTTAAACAATTATTACCTCTGTCAACATGAGTATAACTCAGCAATTAAAGTACCTTACTTTTTCTTTGAGGTTAGAGATCCAATTTCACATCCGCACTTTGATGTATTATTATTATTTTTTTAAAATGCCCATCAATTTATTTAACATATTTCTTGTAAAAAAATGATTTAACATATTTATGACTATTAAGTTAATTCATTTTTCTTTTTCCTTTAGTGAAATGGCAATGGAGAGTTTACTTTTCTTAGATCAATAGCAGTATGAGGGTTGGAATTTCGAACTCCGACCTTCTCATTAAAATTATATGCTTTAATCATTATAACTATCGAAAGTATCACTGTAGATCAGACTTATTTTTTTATTCTATTTTGTGTTCAACAACCAAAATGATTTCCCTCTAAACAAAAAATAATATTTCATTTGTTGAAAAAAAAAACAATATCTGAGATGTTATATTAATTTTTTTAATTCATTATTTAATATGAATTTATACTAGATTACATCCATATTTTTTCCTTTAAATCGGAATGAGAACTGAAAAAAAAAATAAAAATAACATTTTCCTCTCGAGTGAATTTTATAGTGCAATCGATTCATCGAGTCAAACTGTTTTATTTTTAAAAAGATTAAATACTTTTTCTTAAATCGTCTTATTATTTTATTTTAATTTAAATGAAATACATTTGATAGTTCTTTATTTTGAAATTTTGATTAGGCAAGTCCCGTTCAATAATAATATGGTTTTATATTTTTTAAAATCTCAGGAAAATTATTAGACATCAATTTTACTGGTTTAGTTTTTCACTCTTTTAAATTACTCACGATATATAAATCAAATAAAAACAAAAACAAAATTTTGAAATTAACTTTTTTAAATAACAAAATCGAGTTATTATTTCTGAATTATTATAATTATAATTTTAAAAAATAGAAAACAAATAAAAAAATCATTAACCTTGCATGAGTTTTAATCAGGAGTTTAAGAAACTGATAAAATGTAATTTAATTTTATAAAAAAAGGAATCTAAAACCATTAATTCTCGCACTATTTGTATTTTTGTCTTTCTTCCTTTACGTGTAAAAAAACAAAAAGAAAAAAAAAAGAGAGGATAAAAGAAGCAAAATCAATTTCTTTTAAGGAAAAAATTGTTTACTCAAAACTGAGATGTTTCCTTTTTCCTTCACCGACCAATATTTAACGTAAAAAAATAATAACGCGATGGATTTAAATTTCAAAAAAGAAAAGGTGAAAAGTCAAAAAGACCCTTGGAGGGAGTGGGCCGTTCCCGTCAAACCTCCGGGCAGTCCGTCCCCACGTTGTCGATCCTCTCACCCACCTGTATAATTCCCACCAAACCCGCACCGTTCCCCACTCTAATTCCTGCACCCTTCCGCATCCAAACAAAACTCTTAACGCTGGCCTGCCCTTCCCTTTTATTTTTAATTTAATTGAATTTTTTCCCAAGTATTAACCACCCGTCCGGCGTCGTCCCCATATTTAAACTCGGCTGCCCATTTAGTCTCGTCTTCGGCACTCGCCGCGTGTCACGCTCGACTCCATCGCCAGCGGAACGCTTCGCTTCCTCTCTCCGATTGCGTCTTCTCAAAATTCCCATTCCACTCCCATTTTTCAACAACACAAATTATATTAGATTAGATTAGATTAGATTGGATTAGATTGGATTGTTGTTTCTCTGTTTTTGCTCTTCAATTTTTTCATTCTAAAATTGAAATCCGTCCTTCTCGCTGCCTTCGGAGATCTCTCTCTCTCTCTCTCTCTGTAGCGATGGCCATCGGTTGGGGCACCTTCAATATAAGAGGTAATTAGCCAACCGCCTTGTTCGCATCTCACGCGAACCTCGCATCGCCTGGTTTTGGTTTTGGTTTTCACTCTAATATTCTAAATCTTCTGTTTCCACCAACAATTTGGATCAATGAAACGTCCGGCCGACGTCACTATCACTGCCACCGCCACCTGTTCGCCGCCACCGTCATCTTTAGATCCCTCTGTTTGATCCTTCTTGTGTGCTGTTGTTTTTTGTTTTTCTCTTTTTTTTTGCAATTCCCTATGCATTCTTTCTGCTGCGTCTCAACTGTCTCCGACAACTCTCCTTCCTCCAAGCAATCGCCGTATCCGATGCCGGAGCTCCACATATCACCGGCCTCCCCCGCGGTTTCCCTCGCATCCAGATCCGATCCGGCCAATCGAATTTCTCATAATCGGAGTCTCAGTAGTAGCGATGCCGGACGCCTTAGCCAGCGGAGCATTTTTGCAGCTGAGATGGTTGGGCGACATTCGTCCGCTAGGGAGCCTCCCGTTGACGTCAAGATCAACGATATCGTTGGGAACGGTATCTGTGGTATACTCTACAAGTGGGTGAATTACGGTAAAGGTTGGCGTCCACGTTGGTTCGTGCTTCAGGATGGCGTTTTATCATACTATAAGATTCATGGACCCGACAAGATCGTCGTCAATGAGGAAACAGAGAAGGGATGCAAGATCATCGGCGAGGTGTCGATGCGGAGGATTTCGAGGCATAAGAATGGGTTGTCTAATCACCACCACCTGCCCCCACTCAGGCGCAAGCCATTTGGGGAAGTTCATCTCAAGGTCTCGCCAATTTTTTTAACTGCTCCCTCATAATTTGCCCCCAAGTACCATGTCATTCATTGTTCTTCTTCTCGTGATTCTAATTTTCACTCTTTATTTTGAGACGTTGACATTTCGTATCAACATCTTCATTTTTTGTTCCAGTTTGTGTGCATTTGAAGTTTGACTCGTTTGTTTTTTTCATCATTTCTTTTTATAATTGTATTTCAACATCTTCATCCATGCTTAACATTAATTTGGTTAGATTTTATTTGAATCTTCCTTCTGATTCTCTCAAGATTCTAGCCTTCCATGTTAATGGTGAATGAAACTTGAGAAATGATGTCTAGGATGCAGATGTTGCTTTTAAGTTACATTCGTGGCATTTCTTGTTTTCATTCTGGTTCTGTTCTTCAGATGTTTCCATTGGATTGTCTTATAACAGGTTTCTTCAATTCGTGAAAGCCGATCAGATGATAAGAGGTTTTCCATATTCACTGGGACAAAGAGACTTCACTTGCGGGCGGAGACCCGTGAGGATCGTGTGGCATGGATGGAGGCATTGCAGGCAGTGAAAGAATTATTCCCGAGGATGTCAAACAGTGAACTCATGGCACCTATGGACTACTTGTCTGTGTCAACAGAGAAGCTTAGAAAGCGGCTTGCAGAAGAGGGCGTCAGTGAAACAGCCATTCAGGACACTGAAAATATTATGAAGAGTGAGTTTGCTGCATTGCAAGACAAGCTCGTGTTGCTTAGGCAGAAGCAGTGGCAACTTATCGACACACTGCGGCATTTAGAGGTACACTGAAACTGAATCTGGAATTCTCCATATGTATCAAATTCAGAATTGTTTTTTGATTCCTCCTGTTATTGGAACTTTTTCTTGGAGTCTAGTGCCCTTTAATTAAATTACTATGGAGCTTTGGCTTACAGTGTTACTCTGTTTTAGAGATTGTATATATTTTCCCCTTTTAGTGATCTTCTGATTGAATATAAGCAGAATTTGAGTTTGTAACTTTACTCTTTCGTAACTTTGTAAGTACTTTAATTTCTCGACTTCAATAATTAACTGTCATTTTGCTTAAATGGGTTCCACTTCCCACATCATACTATGTTGATTATTGACTCCGTAGAGGAATTTAAATCCATTGCTTTAGTGGACATCTCTTCGTCCAACAATTCTGATTGTGGGTTCGGCATTGGTGCTTGCACCATTACTGATTGTGTAGCAGAGTGATGGCATTTGACTCTATGTAGTAGTAGAGGTTGTCGTGGTTTAATTAGGAATACTTATTCTCCCTGCAATGTTTAATTTGATCCAAACTAAAATATTGTAGTGTGTTTACATTTCTTCATTACACAAGATTAAAATGAAGTCAAATTTCCCACAAAATGCACAAAGTATTTCAAACAGAAAAAACTATAGTTCCCACTGCTCGTATGGTTCCATTTGGTTATATCTAGTTAAGTTTGTCTGCCCTTTCTTGTCTAATTACATTAGTTTTTTTTATTCATAACGTTTCTTAGTTCCTTGGTTGAAATTTATTTACATATTGGGTTGTTTTCATTTTTTATACTAAATATGTCTCCTATCTGTCCAAAATTTGGGATTTGGACACTTTGAAGCACTATTTTGAGCTTGTCTGAGTTCAATTCAGTATTGGAACTTCTGTTTAGAATATTTCTTGAGTTCGACATTCACTCTCTGTTTAAAATAGGGTGTCCATGCTTCCTAGCAGATGACAAGTATATCAAAACTTCTCAGATTTATTCCTTTCTTGACATACCACCTACTTGCTACTCAAATCTAAAACTCTCTGCCCAAGATTTTTTTATTCGGATTCCTGGATTTCTTCATCAAGGATGGTGAAGTTTTCTACTGCTTGCTTTTTGTGCTTTCACTGTGTCGGAAATGGTTTTTTTTTTCTAGAATCTCTTGATTGTTTGCCTGAAGGTTGAAGTTAACCTTGAAAGGTTTTATTAGGATGAAGTTAACCTTTGCATGCACTTCCAAGTTATAAATATAATTATGATATTAAGACAAATCAAATTGTTAAATGTCATTTGGATTGAACCTTACTTCCAAACAGTGTTGTGAGGCTTAACCCAAGCAGACCATTTGCTAAATAGGCACTTCAGTTTTTTTTCCTCACCTGAGCTATTCAATTTTTGTCTTCTCACTTTTGAGCTATTTGCATTTATTATTTAATACATTTACTTATTTCAAGAATTTGATTCTCTAATTTCCATGAATAATTCATTTTTTGTTAGCATTGAGTAGACCTCTAGTCAAATCAATAACAATAGAAGTCCCGATAGAAGTTCACTGACTGACCATCTTAAGGTCAGTCATGTAAAATTATCTAATTCTGCATTTCATTCGACATTTTGTTTTGGTCATCGAACTCTGCTTAAACAACTCTCTATATTGTCTTGTGTAGACAGAAAAAGTTGACTTGGAGAACACAGTAGTTGATGAGAGCCAGAGACAGTCAAATGATCCTCGGGCTCTGTCTGGTATGCTGGAAAAGTATAGTGGTGAGTTTTCATGCTGTGTATCTAAATCTATACAATCCTGCTTTTATTGTTTACTTCATTACTTTTGTATCAGTGTCTTTTGGCCTCGTCATTATTTTTCATAATTATTATTAGAGGAATTTGTCTGGGATTATGAGTTGAGTTAAAGAGATTTTCCTTCGTGTTAATTGCAGCTTTGTTTTTTTACATCTGGCACTTCGTGGTGCTGCTCTGTTTTCTTAAGATATGCTATTATGAAGACGAAATTGGTTTGGCAGAAATTTTTTGAAAACTTACATATGTTTTTGACGGAGCTTAGCCCTAGACTTGGACCTGAATTTGATAGATTGAGGTGAAGTGTAGCCTTGCTGATCTCTCTCATGCAGCACTACGTGTATGAGATCTCATGGATGATAGTGAGATCTTCTAAAGAAAAGGGTATAGACCTACAAGATGACTGGACCGTCAGATTACAGAAACACTGATATGAATTGCTTATTGTTTTTATTCCGGAGAACATGCCTGTTCAGGGGATTACAGAAAAGCATAATCAGCTATAGGGGATGAAGTATTAGCTACACCAACACAGTCCTTGAAGCAATTAAGATATAAATGTCTGTTTACGGATGCCATCTCAATGACTTGTGTGTGCTTTCATTAATGTGAAGAATGGAATTGAAATTTAGCTGTGGCCGTTGAACATATCAGTATCAAGTTCTTAGTTTGTAGGAAGGTGGATGTAAGGGCTGTCTTAATTTTAGGACATAGTAATTCTGAACATGCAGAGATGCATCTGAGCTTCCATGGCCAGAACTTTGAAATTTTCCAACTTCGGGGGAGTTCCATAACGGTGGCTAAACAACTAGAACCCTGTGTAAACTAATTTGGCTCATCCATTATTTATATTCTTACGTATGTTAGGTTATATGATGATAATATTTGCTGTTATTTTTCATCAATTTAAAAATATTAGTTCCTTAAGATCCCAAGTCCGGAACCATTTTTTATATCCTCCCAAAATATTATATCTCATCAATTTTCTCACATAAATTTTTCGTTTTTTGTTTTTTTGTCAATAGTTTCAGGTCCTATTTACAATTTACGCCTGGTTATGTTGAACATTGACTTACAGTTTACAATGTATTTGGCTTTTTACTCAAGATGTGTTTGTGTGCAAGTGCAAGTTCTTTTAGTCTTTGCAAAATATGTCCTATTCTTTTTATCCCTCAAATTTTCTCTGGCTACAGATGCAAGTGCAAGTGTAACTGAATCTGATGATGATAATGAGAGAGTAGATGCTGCAGAGGAAGAAACAGACGATGAAGAAAATACTTTTTTCGACACTCGAGATTTTTTATCATCAAGTTCATTCAAAAGTAATGGATCCGATTACAGGATATCATCTTTTTCTTCTGATGATGAAAGGCTTTCTGCAGTTGATACCGAGGATGAAGTGGATCCATCAATTAGATCTGTTGGAACTAATTATCCTTATGTTAAGCGGCGCAAGAAATTACCTGATCCAGTTGAAAAGGAGAAGAGTGTCAGTCTTTGGTCAATGATTAAAGACAACATTGGAAAAGATCTCACTAAAATTTGTCTACCTGTTTTCTTCAATGAGCCTCTTTCTTCCCTGCAAAAGTGTTTTGAAGATTTAGAGTATTCATACCTCATTGATCGGGCATACGAATATGGTAGAAGGGTAAGTTGATGATCCATGATCCCATGTTATGCATATCTTTCAACATTCTTTTCACTATTTAATTAACAAAGGAGATCTCATGGAAGACGTTGCAAACTCTAGTAATCCAAAAGGAATTTTAGGAACTTTCTGTAAAGTGTAAAAAGAAGGAAACAGTGATTATTTTCCATGCTCCCTAATGATTTATTAGTTCATTTCTTGCCAACTCTTCAGGGTGATAGCCTCATGAGGATTCTTAACGTAGCTGCATTTGCTGTATCTGGGTATGCTTCAACAGAAGGAAGAATTTGCAAACCATTTAACCCACTGTTAGGGGAAACTTATGAGGCTGACTATCCAGATAAAGGCCTCAAGTTTTTCTCGGAGAAGGTACTGTTTTCAGATTTGTTCGTTTGTTTGGGGTAAGAACCAGGGGCCTTAGAAAATGAAAACCATATACAAAAGTTGGTTGGAGAAACGAGAAATGCCCAGAGCTATATCTAGATGCCTAGCAGAAATTAGATAAACATTCTTCAGTTGAAGTTAACATGTAACCTATTAGAAAATGTAATCTTATTTGACATGCTTCGTTTCAGTTTTGCCTTAACTATCTTTAATCTTTTTACATTAACATTTCAACAGTGATTGGGTTATGTAACCGGGTAAGGTGGGAATAAGGGAGGAAATGGGATCACAGTGGTGAGTTAAGATTTTAAAAACAAAAAATTTTAAGAACTTGTGCAGACCAGATTGCTTTGTGGATGTCCTTTTATACTAGTATTTCATAAGAAATTGTCTTAAGTAGTTTGTTTCCAAACCAATTGGGATCGCATGGTTGAGAGAACTTCCATTGGTTATTGATCCACCATCTTTCTTTGATCTTATACAATTCTTCCCATATTCATGCTTTTGGAGTTACTGAAACAAACGTTGAGGATTTTGTTGAATGTATATAGGGAATATTTTTAACATTTTGTTAGACTGCAAGAAGCTGGAAAATCCTAATAAATTTCAAATTTCATGAAAATTTGAAATCTGGAAGGTTAAATATTTTATCGAAATGTATAGTAATGGGTGTAAGTAAAGAAGTAAAATACATTATTGGATTGGTAGGCCATCTTAACTTTTCAAGAGCGTCTGACTTTAATCTCCGGTACTTTCTTATTGGAAGTATAATTTTCCCTCAAAATAGGATTGTTCTTTGTGCTCTCCTGCTAAGAAAAAAACATATTGTTCTACTGTAACATAGTGGGTCTTTCATGGTCACATTATTATGAAATTTTAATTCATTATATAATTTTATTAACTTTTCTTACTTTATTGCTTCATTTATTAGATTCGAATGCATGGATGGCTACATAATCTAGTCCCCACATTTGAATCAAAGAGTGAATGTCTTTGTTGATTATGGCTTTGATCTAAGATATTGCCTCTCAAATGGTATAGATTTTTCTAATTTTGGTTGTTAGGTTAGCCATCATCCAATGGTAGTTGCATGCCACTGTGAGGGTAAAGGGTGGAGATTTTGGGGGGATAGCAATTTGAAGAGCAAATTTTGGGGTCGTTCAATTCAGCTTGATCCTGTTGGTATATTGACTTTAGAATTTGATGATGGAGAAGTCTATCAATGGAGTAAGGTGTTATACCAGTGAAGTGTTTTACATTTTTTAAATCCTTTCTTTTTATTTATTCCATTTTCCATTTAGAGTCTATAATTATTTGGAACTCTACTTTTTTCTTGTAGGTGACAACGTCAATTTACAACCTGATACTGGGAAAGCTGTACTGTGATCATTATGGTACGATGCGTCTACAGGGAAATCGTGAATACTCGTGTAGGCTCAAATTCAAGGAGCAGTCCATTATTGACCGGAATCCACACCAGGTAATTTCCTATAATCTTGTAGGATATGCCTGAAATATATAGGATTGTTATTGTTGAAAAAATTAACAAATCTTTTCTCTTTATTCCGTCAATAGTGTAAATTTTTGCCATCTTCATTTGACCATTGTTTCTATTTACCATGGCATTTCACCATAGGGTTCTTTGTGTTCAACAAGAGGTTGAAATGAGAAAATTAAACGATGCCATGTAAAGTAATAAAAATGTTTCCCAATCGATTGATTTTGAGGATTGTGCTGCGTGTTTCATCAATGATGTAGAAGATATCATCACGAAGTTTATAGAATACTCTTACAAAGTTAGTTAAGGAAGTACACTAATTAATCGTTCCCCATTGGAAAATCTACTGGATGCATTCAGATATAGCAGGGTCTCATTTGTCATGGGCGAAAGCTGAGGTTTTATGTGGCTGTAGTTATTCTAGTTTTAAATTTACTACTCTAAGCTGGCCCATTTTCACATATTTTATTTGCATATTATTCAACTGGTTTTCATATTATAGGAACATGTTCATTCCTAGTGATCGGATGCTTTGATTTGACACAATTCGGTGAAATGGGTTATTATGTGCAGGAGTCGGGAATATGTTACTTTTTGTCAAATTCTTTAGGTTAACAAAACCTGTGCAAGTTTAAAATTAGAATTTCTGACTTGCGACTAGATATTTTATAGATTGTTAAAGTCGACTGAAATTTGAAGTACCATTCTCGTGCAGGTACATGGTATAGTTCAAGATAGAACTGGAAAGACAGTTGCTACATTATTTGGAAAATGGGATGAGAGTATGCATTATGCGAATGGGGACTGTTCTAGGAAGGGAAAAGGATCAGATTCTGTATCTGAAGCCCGCTTACTGTGGAAACGAAGCAAGCCACCAAAATTTTCTACTAGATATAACTTCACGAGCTTTGCTACGACTTTGAATGAGCTGACCCCAGGCTTGAAGGTAATTCTGTAGATTATTTCATTACAGTTTCCTAGTAGGCTTGCATTTTTGTTTGGTGGTAGGAACGGGGCTCAGAAGACCATTTATCCGTTTTAGTTGAAACGTTGGAAATGAGATGATAGTTTAGAATTTCTTTTTTCCCTTTTTTCTGTGTATATTAAATATTTGCGATGGAATGACATGCAACTTGCAACATGTTCTGAGATCAATTTGTTCCCAATATTACTTCAATTTGCAGGAAAAATTACCTCCTACAGATTCGAGGCTCAGACCTGATCAGAGGTATTTAGAAAATGGAGAGTACGAAATGGCTAATTCAGAAAAGTTGCGATTGGAGCAGCGCCAACGGCAGGTATATTATACTTGATTGTTGCATATTTGGTTCTTCTTAACGAGTATGTACAATCCATGTTTGTCTAGAGTGACTTTTTCACATCCTAGCCAAATGTTAGAAGTAGGAAGACTAGTTTCAAGATCTTTGATTGATTGATTGATTTATTTATTTAATTTGGGTGAGATTTGAAAAGTTGTTTGTTGGAGCAATAGAATAAGTTGTGGTATTGTATTTGGTATTCAGGCTCGGAATATGCAAGAACGAGGTTGGAAACCAAGATGGTTCACAATGGATAAGGGAAGCGATACGTATCGCTACATTGGCGGGTATTGGGAAGCCAGAGAGCAGGGAAAATGGGACTCATGCCCTGATATATTCGGTCAGATCCCTACTGATCAGCAACTCGAGTGAGTTGAACAGTTTTTTTGGTTTTTTTGGTTTTCTTTTTTTCTTCTTTTGTTAATTCTTTTTTCAAATATTTTTACCGGATGAGTAGCCAATAGCATGCTCATTCGAGTGGTTATAGTATAGCAACTGCCACTCGATGTGGTTCCAAGTTAAATTAGATTGAAGATGCTGGGCAGCCAAAAACGAAATTAGAAAAGAAGAAAAAAAAAGAGAGAGAGCAGCAGAAATTTGTCAAAGGATCTGGCTGGCATCTCACGTGTTCTTGTTAGATCATTTTGGCTTGCAGCCATTAGGTGGAAACGTATCTTTTTCACAGCAAAGTGTTGAATGAAATCATTTGTAGAATTATTCGGGTACATATATATATATATATATATCTCTCTTTAATGACTTATGAATCATCTCATCTTTCTGATTTCTTCCAGCTGGTATCTCACGGGCCGTTAAATCACAGATTTAGTCATGCCTGAAGTTCTTACAAGTCTTTAACTCTAAATACCATATCTAATTGGTTCTTTAACTTTTAAAAAGTATCTTTTAGATCTTTAGATGTTTAATTTTTATGAAGGAATTGAGGAGTTTCTTCTTGAATTCCTGTAGGGTCTAGTAAGTGTACTATACAAAAAATTATGCAAAATTAAAAAACATATATATTTATCTATATATTACTTAACCACACAGAAATTTAGGAAGAATAGAACAATGCAAGAATTTAAGAGTTTCCTCCCCAATCAGATGATTTTTTGAAGTCCCCACAGATGGGAAACCGTGGAATCAATCCTGAGAGTTGAAGAGTTTGGTCGAGTTGGAAAAGGAAGTGTTATGTGTTGCCACGTAGACGCAGCCTTTCCAAGTTAACCAACAAAACTCCTCAACTCAAAGGGACATTTGGAATAGATAGATAAGATAGATAAAAATAAAAATAATATGCACACCTACACGTCATCATCATATAAAATAAAAATAAAAAATATTGTGAAGGATCAGAAGCAGAAGCATCGGCCAGTCCCCATTTAACATTAACATGAATTGGTTGATTTTATTTCTGATCCTCATGTGAATCCTTCAAACACCCCATTGAGTCACTTGTTTTTAAGGGAAAATTGCAAGAACCATCTTTCAATAAGAGTTGTTACAATCACACCCTCAAACTTTCAATTTATCCAATCATCTCCCTAAACTTACAATCAAACATTTGAATATTGCAAAACGCACCAAGTACCCTCAAAACTATTAAGATTGTAACAATCAAACTCTTGAATTATAGGGATAATTTGGTTATTCAATAATTAGAATAGTAAAATTACCTTGACATTCGAAACTCAGCCAAACCTGACTCCAAAAATTCATTTCTTTGCACGATCTAAATACGACATACCTGAAGCAAATGGGTGCATTATAGTATTGAGGTGTGGAATGAAGTTGAAGTTGAAATTGGTCTGAGAAAAAAAAAATCTAGAGAGGGGGAAATGAGGCCTTAGAGATGAACACGTGACATGTATTAATGTTATTCATAATACAATGTTGTTTTGGGTTTGGTTTGAGGGTGAATTAATGGGTGGATGACTACTCATTACTCATTAGGCCTTCCTTTCCTTTCCTCTTCATTCTTTTTTTATACTTTTCATTTCAAGTTGTGGATCCCAATAATCATATGCTTTTCTCACCACCCATTTTTATACTTTCATTATCTTTCTCAAACCTCACCATTATGAATTGGAAGACTTGCTTGTTCAAACATTTCTCTCCAAAAATTTCCCCAATGTGGAGAAATTATCTCCAAATTATTTATTCATTCATTTGGGGAGAAATTATTCATGAAATCTCTAAGTTTTCGCTAATAGATTTTTCTTAAAAATATATATTTTTTTTCACTAATAGATGGTGTGATTTCTGACTTTTCAAAATTTTCACTTTAGTCTTTCAAATTTTAGAAATAAGTTTAAAAAGTCATTGAGATATATCTTTTTTTTTTGTTAGTGGTAACAAACCTTATCAAACAAACATATTGTCTCTACAAGTATCCTTCTATCAAACAAATATATATTGAACTACTAACTAGCATCGAACCTATGTACCTAATATTGGCTAATATTGGAAGAGCAAATCTTTCTATATTTTCATGATCATATGATACCCTTCACTTCAAACTTAAATTCACATGATTTTACTTTTAGTTTTACTCAAAAAAATATCATACCGATAAGAATATTATCCTTGTTTCTTTCTTAGTACAATATGTGGGATTAGAGTTTGAACACGTGACATTTTAATTAGAAATACATGCTTTAACCAGTTGAAGTAGGATATATTAGCGTTTAATTATATACATAGGATTTTCTCCACTTCTAACGGATATGAAATGTTATAGCATATTGTACATTCCCAGCCCAAAAAGGTTCCAAAAATAAAAATATTAGCATGCCGATGAACTTCACTAATGTGCTCTTGTATTTGGTTAGGTGATTAAATTCCAACGGCACACCACAATAACTCTCTCTGTATATCAATGATATAACATCATCAATTTTACGCATAATCTCATTTCAATTTGGTTTTTACTTTATCCAAAATATCACGTACCAATAAATATATTATCCTGACTTATATATTTATATTTAAGTTTTCTCTACTTCTAACCAATATGAAACGATTATGTTTACCCCTCCAACATATTATCCATTCTCGAACTCGAGGCGGTTCCCTTTTTTTTTCGCCAATAAAGTTTGATGGTGAATGTGGTATTGCTAGGCTTGGTGATGTAAATTATAAGATGCAAATTGATATTAAAAGGGAATAAACAAAGTTAGATATGTAATAAGCCCGAAAAGTGAGATGTCTTCTCATTTTGTCTGTCTCCCAAAACATATTTCCACATAAAAATTGGTCACATGCACCATGGCCATCCATCCCTCACCGACACTCCCTCCATCACCACCCAATCAAAATTCATCAATAACTCTTCCTTTTTCTTTCCTCATTTTCATTCTAACATTTTTCCAATTCCTACTCAAATGTGTTGGTGGAAATTTGGGTTCCTTTGAAACTAATTAAAACTTCGCTTTTCATATGTTTCCCAAAAATATCCTTTTCCAATCCAACAAAATTTTAAAAATATCGCTCCCACTTTCACTTTTTAAACACATCATCCATCTCTTTTGTACTTCTTTTTTTATTTATTTATTTATTTTCCTTTCGATTTTTGAGTTTGTCAAATTACGTACAATTTGAACCCCCATTATAATAATCGAAGATGAACAAGAATTAATGGCTTTGGAACTCTATTGGGTGTTTCTTTTATTTTGACCAAAGTTTTGTCTACTTGTAAATTGAAAGGAAAAGAAAAAGGAACGTACATAAAATCAAAGAGAAAGAAACAACTGACTTTCCGTTGGTCCGGAAGGGGCGGCCACTGCACTAATACACGACATTATCCACCAGAAATTTCTAATTATAAATAAATAATATATATACACTGGGTATAGGGCATATTCTAGAAATAAAATTTCAGGGTACAATATCATTTTATTTTTTATAATATGTTGAGGTGGAGAATTTCGAGATCATTTAAAACATGTTTTCCAACACTAGATTGAGAATTTTAATATATAAAGGTCACGTTTACTTGGAGAAAAATGAGAATGAAAATTTTTATCTCAAAGTAATAGGATGATCACCTGATTTGCATTTCTTATTCCGTGGCCTCACACGTTTTCAATAGTTACTTTACCATTTGTACTTTTTTTAACTCATTTATTAGGGAAGCTTTTAACTTTTTAATTATCGTTTTGATTAAAAAAATAATACTATAACATTTTAATTAGTTATAAATAGGAAATAGATATTATAGTCATTGTTGTATATTATATGATTCATATTCAAGTTCTACACAGTTTTAGTAAATATCGATAGGTTTCTGATTCATATTACAAAAAATTTATATTAAACAATAATAAATAAATAACATTCTAAAAAAACTTTCATATTATCAGGATTGTCTAGTAAGTGTGACGTGTTTATAGTAGAGTTAAAAATTTAATCTTAATATAAAAAATTGTTATTTAATAATATATTTGTAAACTAGTAGAATTTACCCACTAAATATTTTAAAATATTATTAATTAATTTCATCAAAATACATGTCATACATTTTGTATTATTTTCTCGAAACATATTTTGTATAATTATTATTTTAAAATATTATATGATTATATTTTACGTATCTTAATTTAAAATATGAAATAAGTTTAATGTTCAAAATTCAATTCCAAAAATCACTAAAAACACAAAAATATAATTTTTTACACCGTTTTTATCACATAATATAAAATAATTATAAAAAAACAAATCTGAACAATAATTGATTAAATGAATTTGAAAATAAAAAATAGAATCGGATTGCATATTAAGCAGAGTTTGCTTTCGTAACAACGCCACTTGGCAGAACGTGATTGGTGCATTCGGCCAACGCTCCTGATCCGGTGTTTCGCGGAGACGGACTGTGAAGTTAGAACCGTGACACGTGGAGGGCTGGATGACGCCTAAGATCGTTGGGAGAAGGGAACAGTTGGCAGCGTCCCATACCTGTCTCGCTGTTATAGAAAAAAGACGTGGGTGGTGGGCCCCACGCACGCTGCTCAACGACGGTCATGTGGGCTCCACTTCCTTGCCAGCTCAGACACGGCCGGTCCAATTCCAACTGCAAAAGCGTTTCTCTTCGCTTCGCTTCCATTTTGACATTTGCGTGCCTCACCTCACCTCATTAATAATCCTTTTATTATTATTATTATTATTTATTAATAAACTAATCATTTTTTTCTTTACTTCATATACAAATTTGGAAATTATTATTATCTTTTAATGTTCGTACTTGTTAATATTTGTTTATTATATTTAGGGTCGTCTGCCAAAACAAAATAATAATTACAGATATGAAAACCATTTTTTAGTTTACAAATATATATAAAAAAAAAAACAGATGTCCAATCAAGACAGAAAAAAAGGGTCAATTATATCACTAGCATTAATATATCAAATATCAAATATAAAAATAATACACCTAAATAAAATATAACACTGATTTATTTAGTTTGATTAATATATTTCATATTAAATTTATCAATAATGATGTATTTCTATTTCATACAACAGACATTTATAATATAAACTATACCTCTAATATATTAGATATATTTGAAACGAAAGAAACCTACAATATCACTTAAATCAAAATATTCAATTTGAATAAGATTTATTAGTGATATACCTAATATGAAGTATATCATTTCTTTAATGTGACTACTATACTCCATATATTTAGTGTTTCTAAAATACTTTATATTAGATACATTAATTATATCGATAATATATTTTACATTTAATATATCAGTTATA